TCAAAAAAATTTATTCTGTACAAAAGGATCAGTCAAATATGATGATTAGTGTCAAAAACAATTGTTAGGAAAAAAGAGGTAATCATTGTAAAATATTTATTACTATAGAATTAGTTAGAGAATTAGTTTGAGTTTAAAGTGTTTACACTTTGTTTTTTTTCTTTTCAAGAACAATATATGCAAATCTTCAATAATTTTAACGAAACTTATATACACTCTAACATTAAATTATAAGTTATATGAAAAGGAACAATTCTTATGTGAGCATATTGAAGACAATACATGAAGGAAGTAGGTACAAAAATCACTTCGGCGTTTGCAAAAATACTTCACAGATAAATGACGGCCCACATAGATTTAAATGCCGTTATTTCTATTACTTACTTTATTTTTACATCCTTCATAAGGATTAAGTCGATTTACACCTTTCAAAAGTAACAGAGTTTTACACCAACACGCGACATATATGCTCGTTTGTACGCGAGCGATAACTCATTAAATAAAAGTCCCTCTTTTATAGATAGTAAGTATGTAAAGGTAAAAGCTACATATGCGTTCTTGCCATGAAATACATCGGATACGTCAATTAATAAGATGAATTTGTGTCCTTATATTTTTTTTTTCCTTTTTATATTAGTTGCATTAAGTATTATATAATCACATTCTACATCGAGCAAACAGTTGCAACACAGTCAAAGTGTAGTCGGAAAGAATCGCGTAGATTGTTCATAGCTAAATTTATTATACGATTTTGTTTGAAATTTTTTTTAAATATTTTTAATTTTACGCAAATTACATCAGACTTATTACTTCGGGTGGTACTTTTATATGTTCCCACCGGAAGGATAAAAGGAAAATGCCCCAAACTGGAAGTTCACTGGAGTTTTTGGCGAAGCACAAGTGTATATAAAATCATCTGATTGTAGCTGCGTCCTGTTTAAGTTTGGTTCAGATGCCGATCGTGTTATTTTAGGTAATCCTCGTGAAAGACCTTCTAAGTTCGCTAAAATTTGACGAAATATTGGTCTATCCTCTCTGGAAAATTTGATACAATGTTCTGTCAGTCTCTTCAGTGCTTTGGGCGTATCTGAACGTAATTTATTTAAATCCGGACGTAAATTTCCACGTCCAACCATAAATAATATCTGATCCTTGTTGTTAATATGCGAATACGGTAACTGACCAGACAACAATTCAAACAAAACAACGCCAAATGCGTAAACATCAGATTGAAAGCTGTATGGATTTTCTTCTTGCATTCTTATAACTTCTGGTGCCATCCAAAGAATAGATCCACTTGGTTGATGAAATTGTTGAGAACCAGACCACCTAGTCTTTGCTGTAGCTAAACCAAAGTCTCCAATTTTTACAGTAAGATCATCGTGCAGAAATATATTGTTACTCTTTAAATCTCTGTGAATAATATTCTTTGCATGCAAATAATCCATCCCCTGTGCAGTTTGTCTTCCAATTTCTATCAATGTAAATAGATCAAATTTTGTCTCGAATACATGTAAATGTTTATATAGAGAAGAACCTTCACACCATTGAGTAACAATAGCCAATTGTGGTTTGCTAACACATCCCATGAACAAAAGGATATTTACATGCCGTGTCTTACGTAAAACTGCAACTTCATTTTTAAATGCTTGTAACTGAGCAGCAGTAGGTATTTTAACATTGAGTGTCTTTACAGCTACAGGACCATGCCAATGAGCTTTGTATACTGTTCCAAAAGAACCTGATCCAATGCGAGCTCCAATTAAAATTTCATCTGCTGGGATTTCCCAATCTTCTATAGACTCTCTAGGTGCTAAAAGATTTTTGGCTGATTCATCAGCTGATCTTGCTCTTGGTCTTTTTGGCCTTAAGGTATTAGTAGGACTAGCCTGTGTTGACTGACTATGTTTGGTTGGACTATTACCAGGTGATATTACACTTTGTATGATACCAATAGGACGACCTAAACTCTGAGATCTACTGTATTCATCTAAATTTGCAGATTCCCCACTTGGTTTTACCATATTAAAACAAACATTAGGCGCAGAGCTTGAACGATCTTGTTGTCCCAAAGAACGTGGATGCCTCTGACTTCTCGACGGAGCCAGAGATGGGGACATACTCCTACTTAATCCATATCCCGAAGGAAGTTGCAATATACCAGCAGTACTTTCAAGGTTATGCGCTAGCAACGCTTGGTAGTAAGCATCTTGCATACGTACTTGGTGGCACAAAGCAGGTACACCACCAGCACACCTTTGATGAAACCGATAATTGCATGTTCTACAATAAAATCCTTGAAAAAGAAGTTTTCTACAACATTCACAAAATGCTAGTGAGAAGAAAGTCTTGCGCACAAAATTATGAGAAATGGAAGTAGTTATTGGAAACTTATCCAAAATTTCCACAGATATTTCATCGCAGTCAAGCAAGGAGATGTCTGTGTCCCAAGAAGTAAGATACTTAGAGTTTGCACCCAGTATATATACCACACACATTTCCGTAGTTAAATTCCTTAATTTCATTGCTTTGGCAAGTGCATCTCTTAATGAAAGCCCTTCACGAACCTGTACACTTGTACGCTGTTGATTAGGTAAATATGCCCTGAGCAGAGATTTCATTGGCGTTCGTTGACCTGTAGCAGATGCATTAGCATCACGAGATTCACTCTCCGAGGTGGAAGCACTGCCAGATACTCGGCCAGTATTCAACAATTCATTGAGCTTCTGTTCCTTAGATTCTAGATCATGCAACTTACTAGTTAACTCTTGATATTCATTCAAGTATATGGAAGGTGGATGTTGAAATCCAGCAAACCGATTGTTCAAAGCGTCAATATTTTGTCGAGTAACGTGTATCACATTCTGTATGTTTCTCAGCTCATACCTCAGTGGATCTGTATCCAAGTAACTATCCTCGGAATCGCTTACTTCCCCCGAATCCGGGCCGCTGCCCCGTGAAGAGGACATAGCTAACTGTACGTGGTGCAGCTTTCTCCTATGTCGACGATGACGAGATGACACAGTCGAGGATGAGGTGGTTGGCGATGTGGCTGTCACCGAGTCTATCGCCTCGAACCTACGACACGAGAATTCCGTGTACGCATTCGCACGGATTGCCGTGTAATACCTCTGCTCGCCGATCACGGCCATCTTCTTGCTCCGTCGGGCAGCATCCTGAGTAGCTGCTGCTGCGCTTCGGAACACCTTGGTAGCTTTTTACTCCGCTACCGGTTACCGCCGAATTTCTCTCTAGTTCGAGTTTTGACCACGCCGCTGTCACCTCACCTCTTACCGCACGGCGACGACATACGACGGACGAGTACCGTACGCACCACTATTTTCCTCTTCCTGTTCTTCTTCTTCTTCCTTTCTCTGTATACCTTTTTCCTACCTTCTTTTTTCCTCTTATGTCTGCCAAATCGAGCCTACTTTCCGATGCGCGTCTTTGCACCACGCCGCCTTCCTTGATTTTTCGGCCATTGAATTCTTACGATAATACAGTCGCGTAACAGTCGTCGTGCAACCGCTCGTATGCGGTCAGGACTCCGAGATCGAGTTATGGAATTCTTCTCGTCCGTGCACTCCTGTGCACTATCTCCTCTGCTTCTTCTCTGGAGCTCTTGCGAAAGAAAACTGGTACAAGCGTTGCAGGACCGTGATCAGAGGCGCGGGGCTATGTTTCTTGAAGCGCCGGTGCTGCCAGTCTCTCTCTGCGTGCAACCTTCCGCCCTCTCCCACTCGTTCTCTTCCTCTTCCTCCGTTTGAATTCTACCTGTTTACCAGCGCAAATCGCTCTCGGTCTTCACGCTTCGACGAATTATCGCTTCCTTCTTCTTATTTTCCAGACTTTCGGATAACTCCGCGTCATCCGTGAGAAATAATATTTTTTTTAATTTCAGTTTATTTTTTACCTTGGTGAAATATTCGATTATCGAAACGTTGGAATATAATTTTGCGACGTTTCTTAACTTGTTTTAAGATCATCTTGACGTATTACGTTGCTTCCGATTTATTTAAACATTTGCATGATTTTGAGTTCGAGTAATTTATTGATTGCTAATAATATTGATAACTTAATATTTGATTATTCTGTTTTAATGGATTTATTCTATTTTTTTTCTTTCTTTTTGCTTTAAAATAAAACATTGAATACTCCTTGAGAAATAATCGTTTGGAACAGATTTATAATTCAAGTTCAATTTTTCTGTAAACATAGCTACTCTCATTGCGTTTCTGACGTCACTGCAGACGTGCTTTGACGTCAGCAGCATATGGTATAGTTTCCTAGGCAACAGAAGTCCATCGTAATTGGTTCGATGCTTGCGTACATATCTCACCGTGCGCACATCTACTAATAATTGAAAAAAAACGTATTCGAAACATACTGGGAAATAACTTGGGAATTGATGACATTGATGTCTTCCAATATCAATTACTTATTTTTTTATATTACAAGGTTCGTATCGATCAAGTCATTGGTCTTTAATAATTTATACTGATAATTTATCTGTTCGACTTTGTGCCTATTTTCTTGAAAATGGTGGCCGGCAAAGTAGCTTTTGTAACAGGTATGCATTTAAAAAAAAGAGAAAAAAATTTTAAAAGGATATTTGCGATAAAAAATTTCTACCAAAATAGAATTTATCTCAATTACAGGCGCTGGCAGTGGTATAGGTAGAGAAGTATGCCGTATTTTGGCGAGGCAAGGAGCTAGAGTTATTGCTGCCGATCGAAACTTAAAAAGTGCCACGAATACCATTGCTTCTTTAAATGGTTTGAAAAATATTATTTTTTCTTAATTATTTACTTACACACAATTATCAAAATTGTATACAATAATTTTTAGATCTCGAACATTTGGCATTAAATGTTGAGGTGTCAAGTGAACAAAGTATTCAAGAAGCATTTAAAAGAGCAATAAACAAATATTCAACTCCACCAACTATCATAGTTAATTCTGCTGGAATCACGCGTGATCAGTTCATTTTGAAACTTACCAACGAGGATTTTGCTAAAGTACTTGATGTAAATTTGAAAGGGACATTTTATATAATTCAAACAGCAGTAAAAGAAATTGTTAATGCTAATACAGGTATAAGTAGTTCGATTGTTAATGTGAGCTCTATTATCGGGAAAACGGGAAATATAGGCCAAGCTAATTATGCAGCATCAAAAGCTGGAGTAATAGCACTTACGCAAACTGCTTCCTTAGAGTTTGGACAGTAAGTACAAAAATAGTTATACTGCTTTATTATATTATCAGTCATATATTTTTGTTATAGATTTGGAATTCGCGTTAATGCTGTACTACCGGGTTTCATAGAAACCCCTATGACGGAAACTGTACCTGATAATGTAAAACAGTTATTTATAAAAAAGATACCTCTTCACAGAATGGGAAAACCAGAAGAGGTAGCAGAAGTAATTACATTTTTAGCATCTTCCAAAAGTTCCTACATAAACGGTGCATCTATTGAAGTTACAGGAGGATTGCATTAAATTTATACATACATATGTATATACCGAATAGACCATTTAAATTAGATCTAAATTAACTTCGTTATTTTTAGAAATATGGATAAATTTTGTAAATAAAAGTTATTTAATACTAAGGAGATCATAATACAGTAGTAATGATTCTTTGTGAATGAAGAGGTTTCGAAGATTTCAAAATCATCTCCACTTTTTTAAACGTACTTTTCTATTCTAATCGAAGCATCTCTACATTCTCTGTAAGAAAGTATTTCTTTACAAGAAAGTACGTATATCAAAAAACTGTTAATTTAGGACATATTTTAACTTTAATTCTAAAATCTATGCATAAAACAACAGTATGAACGCAAAAATATTATGTTTTTTTTTTATCTCTCATACGATAGACTTTACAAAATTAAGATTTAAATATCTTCTAAAAGTTTAACACTTTTTTTATATCTCCTAAAAGGTTAATACTTTTTTTATACAGAATGTCGATTAATGGATAAAAAAATATATTTCATTTCAAAAAATGGTAACGACCTTAAAATCTTCAAAACTTCTTCACCTACAAAAAGATTATTACTGCCTTATTATGCCTCCTTAATACTAAATAACAAAGTTTATCCACAACATTAAAAACAATAAAATTATTTAGATTCCATTTAAATGGTTGTATACCTGGGTTGTATATTTATACATATATATATTAAATATTTACATACAAGCACATATGCATGTATATATTTTTATAATTAAATTTATATTCCACTTGATAATTATAAATTTTACAAATGTCATTTAAAATTTTGGTTTAAAATGTATATTTATAAATTACATTTATCATTTTTTCTTTCCTTTAAGTTTCCTTGCATGTCTGTGAGCTTTATAATGTAATTTTTTCTTCTCATCAATGATCTCTTTATATTTACGTTTGTTATATTTAGAAAATTGAGCATCAGCCATAAGTTCATCCACAATTGTCCTCTTACGTTCTTTCTTAGTAAGACGTCCAGAATAATAATCCAAATGTGAGTCCATAACTTTACCAATTTGAAAGTACTTGGGTATTGTTTTAAGATCATTTTTCTTATAGAAATGTTTTGGATTTAACACTGATCTCATTCTTATAATTTGAAGGTCATGTCTGACTTCTGGTGTCAATTCAGGAGCAGGCAAATTATACCAATCCTTGCCTTTAGTTTTAGCACGTTCTTTGCGATTCTTAGCTTGTAATGCCCTTCTGCTTAACTTGTACGGAGGCACAGCTAGCAGCTTTTCAAAACCAGGTACTACAACACTTTTTTCAAGTACCTTTTCTACTGATGTTAATTCCATTGTAAAATTAGTCACGTCTGGAGCAGGAATTGCATTTTGTTTCTTTTTTTTCTGAGATTTTGTTTTATTTGACCAACCCATATCTTTTTCAAATTCCTCAAGATCAAAATCTTTAGTTATATTGCGAAATATTCTTTTTGTTGGAACCTCATCCTGGATTAAATCTTCTTCATCAAAAAATTTGACTGACTGTGTGCCTGTTAAATTAATGTATGTAAGAATATTGTTGTCGGATATTTCTAACCTCTAAAGATATCATAATGAAATGTAGATTTAATTACCGTTATTTTCAAAGTCCAAGTCATCATCACTATCTGTTAAATGATCTTTTGTTAATAAATCTGCTTCGCCTTTCGTATCAATTATTATATCCATTATGAAAATTAATTGTACTAGAAACTAAATTGAAAATTAATTGTTTTAGAAACTAACAACGACTTCTTAACGTTATTACGAACTTTACGCCTACTAATTCCATTGTCTTTTTCTAGTGTCGCCCTCTATGATTGACTATTATAGCGACGTCGAATGCCAATGTGTTGCAGCGACACCTACTTCCGCTCAATCGTTCCGCTGAAAGATGCGTTTCCATGAGACGAACAGCGCCACCTTTTTGAAATAAGCAAAAGCGCGGCAAAAAACTTGTTGCTTTTTGCTATTAAAGAAACCTCATTCTTTGCCCTCATTCTTTCTTGTGCCAGCGATCTTCTCAGGACAATCCCATTACTAAGCACGCGGAACGAGAGATTGTGAAAATCCAGTGTGTAGACAAAAGAAATATATACCTATACTTGGAAGTTTATTTTATCTTTCCGTCTAGCAAATCAAATATTGCTAACATTTGTGGAAACAGAGCAACGACCACCGTACCTACACTACCATGATAGCGACATCTATTGCTATTCAATAGTCTCATCAAAAGTTACCAAGAAAATACCAACAAATTATTAGTTACCAAGTTAGTTACTAACAAATTGCAAAGGATATATATAACAGTTGTCAAGAAATTAATAAACAGTCGTCATTCATCGATTATATTCTGTATTATGTAAACGTTAAATTAAAATATAAAATTTCCTTTTTGTAATACGGTGACTTTATCATTTACCGTTATCGTAACACAAATGCGACAATCAAGGTACCATCTGGTCCTTGAAGTGCGCCACTTAATATTTACAAGTTCCACATCTATAACTTCAAATGATCCACAATAGTTGCAACTAACCACAATCAACGGCTTTCTTAGGAGAGCTAAGAAGAACTTTCTAAGAAGCGCTGTTTTTGAGACCTGCTTGTAAGATGCGAGATGCATTGTTTCGCTGTGTGTCTATTTTTTGAATTTCCCACCCAAGCGATTAGAATGCAAGCAATTGCTATTATCAACCAAACTGATGAGTTTAGCTGAGCGAACACTCAAAGATGAAACGAATCTTATTTTTTCCATTTTAATTTTTTTCTCGACACGATCATTTTCCTTTCATCCAAGTCTTAAGATGCAAATGTTTAGATGCAAATGTTCAATTTGGAATGTGACAAAATATACTATTTGTTACTTCATATGTATCTATTTATGTTTGCGTGACCATTAGAAATGGTTACTTTTCCAGCAAAAATAATTATTCGTTCCAAAATCGAAAAATAAGCTGAAATATTTGATAAAAAACTAATATGTATTACAAAATGTTAATGTATTTCCATGTTCGTGCACATCAAATATAAACAATGTGTTGTTTTTTCTTTCGTCATTTTCACGATTATTAACAATGTTCATTAACGATTAAAAATTTATTTTTACAACATTTAGATAAGTATTATTAACAATTGAATAAATTTCAAAACTCAGAAACAGAGAAAATGGAAGTAAATAAAAGCAAATTATCACATATATTTAAATTCAATGGTTTTAAAACAACTACACGTTCTAAATATGAAATGTATTTGTTACACAAATAATAATATAATCTTTGTAATCCTAAATGTGTAATTCTTTATGATTCAAATTGCATAATACACTATATTTAAGAATATAAATGTGTAATATGTTGGATTAGTATTGTAGCAAAGAATATTATAATATATTATAAATTATATATAATTATATATTATAAATTATATATAATATATTATATTATAATATATTATAATATAATTTACTGTCTGTATAATAGTCATCAAGTAAAATACAAAATAGTGAAATTTGTAGTGTTAAAATAATCAACCTATTTATAATAGAAATAAGTATGCATAGCTATGTAAGTATACAAATACATAAATTATGAACTAGTACAAAGTACATAAATTATGCAGAAACATATTCAATCTATTTATACTGCAATATATACATTACATATTATTATATGTTATATATTATTAAATTTTACATTGATGATTTTCATAATATAGATTTCATTTACCGGTATTACAAAATAATTACAAAAAAAGATGATGTATGAGAGATTTGTATTTTCTTCTCAAGCTTATTTATTATTTAAATTTATCAAGTAATTTTGGATGGCACAAAAAAAAATGCATAATCAACACATTCTTTGTTTGAAAATAAGTAAAAAATGAAGTTTTTCCATTTAAGATCTCGTTTTCAAAGAATAGAGTTTGAACGCTTTTTTTTTAAATAAAAATTTAAACAAATATACGTATATTTGATAAAGTTTCAAATTCAATTTTCTTGAAAACGGAGCCTCAAGTGGAAAAATTTTATTGTTTCTTTTTTTACTTTTCTAATTGTATTATGATTTCGGAAACACCTTGTGAAGAAATCTTTATTATATCAGCAATATATTTCATTATTGTAATTCGTAATTCGTGACCACGTAGTTTAAGAACTACTTTTTGTGGCTCACGTAACATACTTCTAAATATACCGTTAGATCTCATCTCTACAACTATTATATTCAATATTAGCAATAATTATTAGCGTATTTCTAACTGATATAGTATACATAATCTAAATGATGTATACATAAGAAAGGGATAGTAGGAACAGAAGTATAGTAGCAATAGTAATAATAATAGTAGCAACAACAACGTACTCTAACAATATTAATAATAAATTAGTTAATACTACTAAAAATAAATATTACTAAAAATAATTATATGTAGATCAAGAAAAATTGAAATCTAATTTTCTGATAAAAAGCATCTAAAGAGTATAATAATGGTAAGTAAGAATTATATAGAATAAGTAGTATGTAAAGTAAAAAAATTCAAGACTATCGTTTAACAGCAATAACAACAGCAATTTTCATTTTATCTCTTCTTTATTCTTCTTTCTTTTGAATCTATTGATCGTAAGTACCACTTTCCCACGTTTCATTTCTTTTTCCCCTTTCACTTCTTCCTGTCGGAGAAAGTATACCTCGCTTGACAAAGACAAAATTTAGCGACATGGCTAACCAGTACCTTGTTTATAATTTAACTATACTATTATTTGTGTAGAATTAACAATATTTTACAAAAGATTTCAAAAGATTTTATTCTTTGTACTAATTATTTTTCATTAGTTAATTCTTTCTATAGTTTTCTTACTCAGAATAATTCCCGATTATTAGTACTTAAGTTAATTAGCGTCAGTATCGAAAGAAACATTTTAGTGTTTTTTTTTTTTTTT